GATAAATAGAATGACACTTGGAACGACTTTATGCAGAATATATGAGCTTATTGATAAAGGAATTTGTATCAGGATAATACAACTCTCTACATTTGTATACTAACATGTGGAAACGTAACTGAAATTTTTAATTATTTTTATATTCGTTCACTTCCCCCCCCCTTCACTGCTTTTTTTTAATAAACGAAATTCTTTTAATAAAATATCAAATAAAAATCTTAAAAATCGTTGATTTTCTAAACTCATTTGGCTGGTGGAATATTACTGTAAACTCGTGCTGTCCAAATATTATTAGTATTCTAGGATGCGACTGAGAGGTTTGTGCGTTTTAAATGTTGCATTTTTCCAACACCACTGAAAAGGTTTGACAGTCATTCTGGTTCTCATAGACCAGCGTTTTTCCAACTTGAATCTCGGGGGCTGTGGTCTGAAATAGCGGCTGCTTTTAATCTTAGTGCAATAAATACTTTTTACAACTTTGGGTTTCGTTGGTGTCTTGTAACACTACATCAGCACCTGCAACCGAGCATCAGAAAGGTTCAAATTTTACATTTTAATGTGGTCTCTGGTGGCAGATCCGGTGATGTTTTGCCACAAATTGCCCATAAATTGCTTTGAGTGACGATTACAACTCGGTTTGCAGGCTCCATCAGAGGTTATCTGCAATAGTCAGTCATGGAAACCTTCAATAAAAAGGAATAGTAATAATAAAACACCTTTTGCAACTGTTGCTGTTTAGTCGTTGAGTCGTGTCCGACTCTTCGTGACCCCCTGGACCAGAGCACGCCAGGCACTCCTGTCTTCCACTGCCTCCCGCAGTTTGGTCAAACTCATGCTGGTAGCTTCCAGAACACCGTCCAACCATCTCGTCCTCCGTCGTCCCCTTCTTCTTGTGCCCTCCATCTTTCCCAACATCAGGGTCTTTTCCAGGGAGTCTTCTCTTCTCATGAGGTGGCCAAAGTCTTGGAGCCTCAGCTTCAGGATCTGTCCTTCCAGTGAGCACTCAGGGCTGATTTCCTTCAGAATGGATAGGTTTGATCTTCTTGCAGTCCATGGGACTCTCAAGAGTCTCCCCCAGCACCATAATTCAAAAACATCAATTCTTTGGCGATCAGCGTTCTTTATGGTCCAGCTCTCACTTCCATACATCACGACTGGGAAAAGCAGAGCTTTAACTATACGGACCTTTTGCAACTGTCGTTGTTGTTTAGTCGTGTCCGACTCTTCATGACCCCAACTACCTTGTGGCAAACCAACACCAAACCCGTTGCCAGGATTAGTTAATAGTTAATCCAAGGGTTATGTGGTTTGCTTAGTCGAAATAAGAAATAATACCATTGCCCTATGTGTCAATAATGATCCAAGACCGGGTCTGGCAACAAACCAACATTTCATGGAAAATGCAAACTCAGCCATCCCACAGATACTTGCCACAATGGACTTTATCATCAGCGCAATTAAAAAATATCCAGTTATATCTGACATTGCTAAGGTGACCATGTTTTTAGAGCTTGTGAAGCAATATCGTACAACCAGACGGTTGGTGTTCTTGCTGTGAAGAGTTTTGTAAGTACCATAAATACTTTGACAAATTCCACATGACTAGGGAGGCACAGTAAAATTGGCCTGGATTCCTCCGGCGCACTGGTTATAAAATGAGCAAGTCTGTGGTTAAAATGCACACGGTCGACGGGACCCAAAGACCTATGGCAAAAAAAATTCCACATGACAATAAAATGCTGGGTTGAGCCCAAGAAAGATGTTAAATTATTTTTGTATGCCACAACGGCTGCCCGAATATTACTTGCTAAAAATTGGAAAACACAAGAACTACCAACAGTGGAAGATTGGCAGATGAAGATGATGGACTTTTCGGAGCTAGCTGACCTGACTGGAAGAATCCGTGACCAGAAAGAAGAGGAATTTCAAGAGGACTGGAGGAAATTCAAGGACTATTTGAATAAATATTGCAATATAAAAAAATTAGAAATTAATAAATAATTATTATTTAATTATTATTAACAATTATTTAATTAATAATTAAATAAATGGGATTTAGAATGTTAAGAAAAGTGAATAAGATGGACTATAATTGGAAATTGTTTTAGTTTAATAATGATATTGGAAAGCTGTTACTTTTAATTACAAGGAAACTCAGAAGGGAGGGATTTGAGGAAGTCAACCAAGATGTTTAAAAGGTTGGATTTGTGAAGAATTAAGTTAGTTGTTATTGTTTATCTGTTTATTGTCGCCCCCCACTTTTTACTATTTTCGTTTTTCTCTTTCTTCTTTTTTCTTTTTCTTTTTCCGTTTTTGTGTATCATCTTGCTTTGTGGTTTGTGTTATCACGGTGGAAAATCTAATAAAATTGTTTTAAAAAAAATAATAATAAAATGTTGGGTTGCCACTCCAACTAAATTTGGGCCCGCCTGGAATACAGTGTCCAGTTCTGGGCACCACAATTTAAGAAGGATATTGACAAGCTGGAAGGTGGGCAGAGGAGGGAGACCAGGATGATGAAGGGTCTGGAAACTAAGCCTGATGAGGAACGGTTGAAGGAGTAGGTTTAGCCTGGATAAGAGGAAACTGAGAGGAGATATGATAGCCATCTTCAAATATCTTTTTGATTTTTTTTATTTTTAATGCAAAATTACAACAAAAATTACAAACATTGAATCCAAACAAAACCCAGTATAAACAGTCCCAAAAAAAACAACACAAAAAAGAACACACAAAAACACACATCTACAAATAAAACGATATCATCATTCTAATCTAGTCATTACATACATATTCACATATTGACTTCCTTCCTTTGTTCTAAGACCTCAGAATTTTTACTCTTTCTAAGTTATTGTGTCTAATGTAGATTACCTCTATCTTTATACTTTTTGCACCATTTTTCTCTTTCTTTAACCCTGCAAAACTTCATTCGTTACATGCAGATATGCTTACTCCAGAACAATGTTTTTTCATATACTCTTTAGCACATCCCCATTCTTTCAATAATTTTTGGTCCAATTGTCCCCTTATGAACGCTGTGAGTCTTGCCAGATTTATATATTCATAAAATTTAATTTGCCATTCTTTCATTGATGGAATTTTTCTCCCTTTCCAATTTTTTGCTATGAGCATCCTGGCAGCTGTTGTTGCATAAAGGAATACTTTCCTTTGATTGTCAGGAATATCGTTTGTGATTATACCTAAAAGGAATGCCTCCGGTTTTCTAAACATCTTTTTGATTTCTTCATATATTTCATTCCAAAATTGTTTAATAGGTCATCTTCAAATATCTTAAGGGATGTCACATGGAGGAGGGAACAAGCTTGTTTTCTCCTGTTCCGGAGGGTAGGACTCAAACCCATGGCTTCAAATTACAAGGAAGGAGATTCCGACTCAACGCAAGGAAGAACTTTCTGATAGTAACAACAGTTCAATAGTGGAACCTCAGGAGGTTGTGAGTTTTCCCCGACATTTCAGCTTACAAGGGCTGAAAACGGGCTGTGTCTGTGAATTTCCGAAAATATTGCAACCCTATTTTTAAGCAGAGGTTGGACGGCCAACTGCCATGGATGCTTTAGATGTGATTCCTCCATTCCAAGGAGGCTGGACTAGATCATAGCTGTCAACTTTTCCCTTTTCTTGCGAGGAATCCTATTCGGAATAAGGGAATTTCCCTTTAAATAACTGAAACGTTGACAGCTATGGACTAGATGACTTCCAATTCTACGATTCTATGATATATATATACCGTATTTTTCGCACCATAGGACGCAGTTTTTCCGTCTTAAAAACTAAGGGGAAAAGTCTGTGCGTGCTATGGAGCGAATGCAGGGGGGGAGGCAGGCAGGAAAAGCCCCCAAGAGCCACACACAAGCTTCGCGCGGCTCTTGCGGGCTTTTCCCCAGGAGGGAGAAGGGACTGACCCTCTAGAAAAGCCTTGCGCAATCTCTCCAGTCGCGGGAGGCTGCGCAAGGCTAAAGAGGAAGCCCGGGCAGCGAGCGGGATGGATCGCGCTCGCTGCCCGGGCTTCCTCTTTAGCCTTGCGCAATCTCTCCAGCCGCGGGAGGCTGCGCAAGGCTAAAGAAGCCAACTTTTTAAAAATCTCTCTATCTCTATCTCTACCTCTTTTTCTTTTTTCGTCCTTTCTCCACCCCCTTATTTTCCTCTGGATCAGTGTTTTTCTCTAGATTAACGTTTTAGTTTGGAGGGGGGGAATGTTATAAAAAAGGAAACTTTGCAGCTTTTATTTTAGTACACAATAAAAACAGATTAAACAAAACACAAGAGAAGGAACTAGCATAGAAGAAGAAGAGAAAAGGGAAAGAGGGAGGACACAAAGCCATTTACCAGAGGTAGATCTTAACCCTTGCCTCACCTGGGAGCTTCTCTGGGCAGGAATTCCCTCGGCTTAAGTGGGGTGAGGGAAGAGTGGCAGGTAGGGGGGTACCTACCTAGACAGTGAAGCCACATGTCTCTCCAATGAAAATTGGGAGTGGGCATTGTGTGAAGTGGCTGTGGATCTCCTGCCGCAGAAGTGTAGGACTGTATAGAGTTGGGAGGGCCACCCGAGGGTCATCTAGCCCAGCCCCCTCACAATGTAGGGATCACAGCTAAAGAACGCCAGGCAGATGGTCCCCCAACCGCTGCTTAAAAGCCTCCAGTGGTGGAGACCCCCAACAACTTCCAAGGTCACAGAATTGCAGGGTTGGAAGGGAACCCCAGGAGTCATCTAGTCCAGCCCCGGTGGACAGCGGGCACGATCCATCCCGTTGTGCAAGGCTAAAGATGCTGCTCAAGGCTAAAGAGGAAGCGCGCAGCCTGTCCGTTGCTCTTTGGGGCTGGGGGGGGGAATAATATTTTTTCCCTTGATTTCCCCCTCTAAAAACTAGGTGTGTCCTGTGGTCCGGTGCGTCCAATAGAGCGAAAAATACGGTATATATTTTTGCAAAAGACAGGCCTGCTCTCGTGAAAATGAGTAGCGAGGAGGAACAGGAGGGTTCCAACATTGCAATAATTTATTCTGAACATATTACAAACAGGCGGGAAATCGAAGGCAGGATCTGAAAGGCCTGTTCAGCATTCAGCAGAAGAAACTGCTTTGCAGGCAAGCGGCCGGATCCTGCCTTGCGTCGTTCCTAAAGCGGGAAAGTCTTTGTCAGGCTCTGTTAAAATACCCGCAGCAACGATGGCGTCTTCTCCCTTGGGCGGCAACATCCAAATCTTCTCACGCAATCCGTCCACGGTGTCGCCCACCTCCCGCGTGGGCAATCAGAGAGAAACTTCCAGGCCGATGCTTCCTGAACTTCTTCTTGACTTTCTTTACTAAATTACGAATCACACCCCTCCTGGCACGAATCCGCTAGAGGGAAAAGAGAAGCAGAGTTAGTACAGTGGTACCTTGGTATATATTATCAATTATTATTATTGGTCCTGAGAGATCTGCATTGGCTCCCAGTACGTTTCTGAGCACAATTCAAAGTGTTGGTGTTGACCTTAAAAGCCCTAAATGGCCTGAGTCCAGTAGACCCGAAGGAGCGTCTCCACCCCCATCATTCTGCCCAGACACTGAGGTCCAGCACCGAGGGCCTTCTGGCGGTTCCCTCATTGTGAGAAGTGAGGTTACAGGGAACCAGACAGAGGGCCTTCTCGGTAGTGGCACCCACCCTGTGGAATGCCCTCCCATCAGATGTCAAGGAAATAAGCAGCTATCTTATCTTTAAAAGATATCTGTTTAGGGAAGTTTTTAATATTTAATGCTGTATTGTTTTTAACACTCGATTGGAAGCCGTCCAGAGTTGCTGGGGAAACTCAGCCAGATGGGCGAGGTATAAATAATAAATTATTATTATTATTATTATTATTATTATTATTATTATTATTATTATTGGTTCTCGAAGAGGGATGTGGGTAGCGCTGTTGGTTAAACCACAGAGCCTAGGACTTGCCAATCAGAAGGTTGGCGGTTCGAATCCCCGCGATGGGGTGAGCTCCCGTTGCTCGGGTCCTGCTCCTGCCAACCTAGCAGTTCGAAAGCACGTCAAAGTGCAAGTAGATAAATAGGTACCAGAGCCTGGAGAATATTCCAAAATCAAAGTGGTCATTTTGACCTTAGTCACGCATGCCAACGCCACCAACCTCTCTTCCTCTGCTTCAAGTGTACTGGGCGGGTTTCTCCGCTGAGAAAATCTTATTTATGTGGCACGTGGAGGATCCGCAAAGAGCGCCCTGGAAGACGGCGCTCTCGTCCCTGCTGTGAAACAAGCCTTGTCCATCTCTGCCACACTGCAAGACAGGTTTCGCTAACCTGAGGCCTGCCAGATGTTGGACTACAACTCCCATCATGCAGTGACTGGCGCTGATGGGAGTTGTAGTCTAAAAATATATGGGAGACAGGTTGGCAAAGAAGGCTTTCCCAGTATTGTGCTTCGTATTGACATCCATGCATAATCCTCCTAGAACTCTAGCCCAGTGGTTGCCATTAATTTGATTCTGAATTGATTTTAGAATGTATTTCAATTAATTGATAGTGATTTTATGTAAAGTGTGTTACTTTTAATGTTGTTAGCCGCTCTGAGCCCAGCTTCGGCTGGGGATGGCGGGATATAAATACAAATTATTATTATTATTATTATTATTATTATTATTATTATTATTATTATTACTATTACTATTATTATACAGATCTAAGGTTTTTCATCCATGCACTAAATTTACGGTTTCGTGCCTCTGGACACTTAGGAGAGAAAATCAACCCCACATTTCATTCACTCCTGAGGTAAACTTGCCTCCTTCTGACGCACAGGGTCACAATTGAGCTGGACAGGAGTCTGCAGCTGGATGGAGAATGTCCCGGAACACTCCTTCACCACCTGCGGAAATTCAATAAATTCAAATAATAATAATAATAATAATAATAATAATAATAATAATAATAATAGGACAACAAACCAATTGGTTCAAAATTGGGAAAGGAGTATGACAAGGCTGCATATTGTCTCCCTGCTTATTTAACATATGCAGAATTCATCATGCGAAAGGCTGGGCTGGATGAATCCCAAGCTGGAATTAAGATTGCTGGAAGAAATATCAACAACCTCAGATATGCAGATGACACAACCTTGATGGCAGAAAGTGAGGATGAATTAAAGAACCTTTTAATGAGGATGAAAGAGGAGTGTGCAAAATATGGTCTGAAGCTCAACATAAAAAAAAAAAAAGATCATGGCCACTGGTCCCATCACCTCCTGGCAAATAGAAGGGGAAGAAATGGAGGCAGTGAGAAATTTTACTTTCTTGGGCTCCATGATCACTGCAGATGGTGACAGCAGTCATGAAATTAAAAGATGCCTGCTTCTTGGGAGAAAAGCAATGACAAACCAAGACAGCATCTTAAAAAGCAGAGACATCACCTTGCCAACAAAGGTCCGTATAGTTAAAGCTATGATTTTCCCAGTAGTGATGTATGGAAGTGAGAGCTGGACCATAAAGAAGGCTGATTGCCGAACAATGGATGCTTTTGAATTCTGGTGCTGGAGGAGACTCTTGAGAGTCCCATGGACTGCAAGAAGATCAAACCTCTCCATTCTGAAGGGAATCAGCCCTGAGTACTCACTGGAAGGACAGATCCTGAAGCTGAGGCTCCAAGACTTTGGCCACCTCATGAGAAGAGAAGACTCCCTGGAAAAGACCCTGATGTTGGGAAAGATGGAGGGCACAAGGAGAAGGGGACGACAGAGGACGAGATGGTGGGACAGTGTTCTCAAAGCTACCAGCATGAGTTTGACCAAACTGCAGGAGGCAGTGGAGGACAAGGGTGCCTGGTGCTCTGGTCCAGGGGGTCACGAAGAGTCGGACACAACTAAACAACAAACAACAACAGCTATAGGGGAAATACGTGGGGCCACTTACCCCATCTTCCTTGAAGTCGCAGTCGGCCGCAGTCAGCAGCTCAGCAGCTGAGCACGTTGTCTCTTTCACAGTAAATTCCAGATCCTGAGGCTCTTCGCTCCGGGGGTCCTAAGAAGAAGGCGGACATTCCCAGGGAGATAACCGTGAATTCTGGGAACAGCTCCATCTTTCCAGTCCCTGCAGGGGATTAATTTCTGAGCATCACAGCCGGCCGCTCTGCCCAACAGCTCTTTGAAGCTCTTTTTAATTTTGGAGCTGAGCCGGTGCCAAGTGGAACAGCTTCGCTTTAGAACCACTGTGAGAATTGGCTTCCGATCAAACTTAGACATTGCATTTTGTTATTATTAATTGTTTGCATCGAGGCAGCTCAATGCGAAGGACATGCCCATTTTGAATCACGACAGCCCAACCCAGAAATTTAAAGTGCTGGTGTGTTTTTAGTTTATGGCAGATTTTTTCCCCCAAAAGAAAAAATAAATAATTGTTTTAAATGTTTTGAGGAATTGATCTTGCTGTTTTATTCTTTCTATAAACAGCACTGAGGTTTTCCACAGTCGGGCAGTATATAAATTTTACAAAATGAAATAGAACAACTTTAGGTTGTATGCTATACAGAATTTGTGTGATTTCATGCCAGAGACGTACCTACCCGGGGGGAGGGTTTGCTAGTTGGTTTTTTGGGGTCTTTGACCCGGGTGAAATAAAGCCTAGTATTGGTCCTGTTTGATGCTATTAAAATCATACACAGACACAGAAACATATACATGAGCACTGGCGAGCATCGCAATAATCCAGTGTAGGATATACCAGAGGGAGGCAGGTGGCGCTGTGGGTTAAACCACAGAGCCTAGGGCTTGGCGATCAGAAGGTCAGCGGTTCGAATCCCTGCAACAGGGTGAGCTCCCGTTGCTCGGTCCCAGCTCCTGCCCACCTAGCAGTTCGAAAGCACGTCAAAGTGCAAGTAGATAAACAGGTACCGCTCTGGCGGGAAGGTAAACGGTGTTTCCGTGCGCTGCTCTGGTTCGCCAGAAGCGGCTTAGTCATGCTGGCCACATGACCTGGAAGCTGTACGCCAGCTCCCTCAGCCAATAAAGCGAGATGAGCTCCACAACCCCAGAGTCAGCCACGACTGGACCCTTTACCTTTTTAGAATATACCAGAGTATAGTTAATGGGCCCATTTTACAGAAGAAAACCGAGGCAGGGCGGCACCGGTTGGCCCCAAGTCACATAAGGTGCCAAGTCAAGCGCTGTTCAGCGGACAGTGCTCTGCACGGTACAGTGGATCCGGCCGCTCACTTACCCAGTCTGGCTGTGGCTTGGCTTCCAGGAGCCGGAAGGCAAAAGCCACCTCTGCAGTTTGGCTGTAGAGTTCAGCGATTAAGGAAACGGCTTCCTCGTAGCTCAGCTCCACTCGCTCAGGGGCCAGAGCAACGGCGGCTGCAGAAAAGCCAAGGACAAATAAGATTCTCCAAAGGCAACTCATCATCTTGAGTGCAGCTTGGCTCTCTGATTTGGTCCCCAAAGAAGGTCCTTTTTAAATGCTGCTTAAATGCTGAGGTTCTCTGGGTAGGGAGTGGGTTTCATAAGTCCCTGGGAAAGCCCCCAAGGGGTCTTTCCCAACAGATACCCACCCCTGGTCCTTTCACAAGACATGCGTGCCAGTCAAGGCGCCAGCAGAGCATCTTCGGAAGGAATTTCCCAATTCTCTCTTTCCTCTGCTCAAAAAGGAAATTGCAATAGTCCAGATTTTTTTTGTGGGGGATATTTCTGCAACTTCAAAGGTGAAGCAATGCATTCCTTCCTGCCTAATGATCCCCAATGATGATTGTTCCTATTTCTTTTAGCTGCAGAACATAAAGAACACCAGCTGTGGGCCTTATTTTTTAAAAATTATTTTTAAAAAAACCACACAATCACTCAGTAGTGGAGCCGGCAAAACTGCACAATGTTCCCCAACCGCAAAGCACTCAGGCGTAAGGAAGCAGCAGCAATTCAAGAGAAGGACCCCCATCCCCTGTTATCAGAATTTATGAGGGGGGAGGGTGTTTACAGTTAAACCCCCAGGCCATGCCCCAAACTGACACCATTCAATTTTATAAATATCCCCATAACAAATGAAAATGATTTGTAAAAATGTTACATGGGGGGGGGGACATGATAGAGAGACACTTTTGAAAATCAACAAAATCTTTAATAAAAAATATTTTTTTTAAAAAAATATCCCCATAAAACCCACCACAGTTTTGCTACATTGAATCTTGTTCAAGATTACATAGTATTTGCCATCCCTTGTGGCAGAAAACCTTCAGAAATTCATATAAAATCAATCCAGTGTTGGATTTACGCCACTCCAATGTTGTTCTGTTCGGAAAGGAAAAGGCTATCAAGGGGGAGAGCTTGGGACAGCCATAGTCCCGAAAGCATGAGCCCACATACTCAGTAGCCCCTCTGCCTAGGTGATAATCTCTGGCCACATATCCAACTCAATGGTGTAACGTGGGAAAATGTTGATCATTTCTCTTTCCACAAGGGCCGACATTGATGTTGAAATCCAGCATCGCCCGAGTTCTGAGAGTGCGGCTTTCTCCCGATTGAAGTGCAGAGTGTTTGAGGACCAGGACATTTGCAGGGAAACCAAAATGCTTGTTTACAAAGCTATTGTACTGGTTGGACAGTGTTCTGGAAGCTACCAGCATGAGTTTGACCAAACTGCAGGAGGCAGTGGAAGACAGGAGTGCCTGGCGTGCTCTGGTCCAGGGGGTCACGAAGAGGCGGACACGACTAAATGACTAAACAACAACAACAACACAACTCCACTAGCATCTCTCGGTATTGTGAATAACACCAAACTCACCTTTTGTTGGTATCTTCATGAACTTATCTAAAGGACTGAGTTAAGCATTTGAAAAATCTATTGAAACCAGAAATTATAAATTCATTTTAGGCTGGGTAGTTCGCAAGTCTCTGTGGCTTTGTTTAATGTTTTATATTTTTCTCAGAAGGTTGATAAAGTATGCATAATTATTGTTCTGTGTATTGTAATCACCAACGTGTTGCATGAGTCGCACAACTTCCATATGCAACGCAGGTTGCATTTTTCTAGAATTCTGGAGACAATAGCAAACCCAGAGTGTGATTAAGTTGGCTGGGAAACAGGAACAGTAACAAGTTGGCTGGGAAACAGGAACCTTGTATTACTTAAAGGGTGTGAGGTGGAGGTCAAGAGAGGGACAGGGGCAAACCTGATACTCAGGTATCTGTCAGAAAACCCCTCCCAATTTGTGACATGGTTATGATGTATGTGTGATGTTTTACTCAGGGTGTTATGGGTAGTTTAAAGGTAAAGGTAAAGGGACCCCTGGCCATTAGGTCCAGTCGTGACTGACTCTGGGGTTGTGGCGCTCATCTCGCTTTACTGGGTGAGGGAGCCGGCGCACAGCTTCTGGGTCATGTGGCCAGCATGACTAAGCTGCTTCTGGCGCACCAGAGCAGCGCACGGAAACGCTGTTTACCTTCCCGCCGGAGTGGTACCTATTTATCTACTTGCACTTTGATGTGCTTTCGAACTGCTAGGTTGGCAGGAGCAGGGACCGAGCAACGGGAGCTCACCCCGTCGCGGGAATTCAAACTGCCGACCTTCTGATTGGCAAGTCCTAGGCTCCTAGGTGGTTTAACCCACAGCGCCACCCGCGTCCCCATGGGTTGTTTAGGAAACTTATAAAAAGGGGAGCGATCCTTTGTTCGGGGCCTCTTCCTGCTTCTTCCATGTTGTGGATGAGGATTAAGTCTACTGGCTGCTGTTTGGCTCCTATATTCTTGGCTAGTGTCTTTGTTTGGCAATACCAGTGACCCCAAGGATTTTCCTATAATTCCCCAAAACACCTTTAGCTTAATGGGGCTCAATATTCGAGTAGAAAGTGACCTTGGAGGTTAGCTATTGGACACCCCCCCACACCCCCCCACATCAAAATGCAGGACCTGGAACGTAGAACCACTTTGCAACTACAAATCAGGTGTGACGCTCAGGTCACAAATCCAAAAGTTTCTTTTAGCATTCTTTACAGCTTTGCAACGGATCCTGGGCCAAGGGGTGGGGTGGAGACCTCTCAGATCTCAGTGCCCAACTATTGTTATAGTAATCAACTAATTAATTAATAACTTGATTGATTGTTAAATTTCTTGCTCAAGGCAACTCAAAGCAACTTGCAACCAGTTTTTTGCCTCAGTCTGGCCAGACCTTTGGAAGTGCAAAGTTCCAAAACAAACAAGCGAAGATCATGGCCACTGGTCCCATCACCTCCTGGCAAATAGAAGGGGAAGAAATGGAGGCAGTGAGAGATTTTACTTTCTTGGGCTCCGTGATCACTGCAGATGGTGACAGCAGCCACGAAATTAAAAGACGCCTGCTTCTTGGGAGAAAAGCAATGAAAAACCTAGACAGCATCTTAAGAAGCAGAGACCTCACCTTGCCAACAAAGGTCTGTAGAGTTAAAGCTATGGTTTTCCCAGTAGTGATGTATGGAAGTGAGAGCTGGACCATCAAGAAGGCTGATCGCCGAAGAATTGATGCTTTTGAATTCTGGTGCTGGAGGAGACTCTTGAGAGTCCCATGGACTGCAAGAAGATCAAACCTCTCCATTCTGAAGGAAATCAGCCCTGAGTGCTCACTGGAAGGACAGATCCTGAAGCTGAGACTCCAATACTTTGGCCACCTCGTGAGAAGAGAAGACTCCCTGGAAAAGACCCTGATGTTGGGAAAGATGGAGGGCACAAGGAGAAGGGGACGACAGAGGACGAGATGGTGGGACAGTGTTCATGAAGCTACCAGCATGAGTTTGACCAAACTGCGGGAGGCAGTGGAAGACAGGAGTGCCTGGCGTGCTCTGGTCCATGGGGTTATGAAGAGTCGAACACGACTAAACAACAACAAGAATAGGAATTCTAAGGTCTTATATATATAAACTAAATGTTTGTAAATGTACAAGGCAAAGCATATAAACCACTTATCTGAAATATTACAGGAGAACAGTCCTAAAACCATTTCAACACTTTCAGTGACCTCAGATATTCCTCTGCGGTTTGGATGGAAATGGAAAAAGCCTCTCCATTGTCTGTGTGCTCACAAATCCTGCCTTAAGGGCACATTTGGGTATGAATAGGGTGAGCCTGTGACCTGGACTCAGGAATTAAGTATTTATCATCACAAAAGAATGGCTAGGATATCCAGGTAATCCATGGTTAGACAAACTAAGGCCCAGGGGCGGGATCCGGCCCAATTTTTAGGGGGGGGGAATTATCCAAGCTTCAGATATATTCTTGAGGTTGCAAAACGGTTACATTGGTCACATCTTTTAAATCACAATAAAAAGAAAACATTTAAACTTCCTTCAGCATACCTTTAGATTATTTTTGCAAGGATGATCAAACTAGATAGCCGACAAATAGTTGAATGCTTATTGGAGCCCAAATAATAACAGTTAAAAACAAAACAAAATATTGTGTAAAGAAGCATGCAAATATTACATTAAAAGGTAAAGGGACCCCTGACCATTAGGTCCAGTTGTGGCCGACTCTGGGGTTGATGCACTCATCTCGCTTTATTGGCTGAAGGAGCCGGCGTTTGTCCACAGATAGCTTCCGGGTCATGTGGCTAGCATGACGAAGCCGCTTCTGGTGAACCAGAGCAGCGCACAGAAACGCCGTTTACCTTCCCGCCGGAGCAGTACCTATTTATCTCCTTGCACTTTGAGGTGCTTTCAAACTGCTAGGTTGGCAGGAGCAGGGACCGAGCAACAGGAGCTCACCCCATCGCGGGGATTCGAACCGCCGACCTTCTGGTTGGCAAGTCCTATGCTCTGTGGTTTAACCCACAGCGCCACCCGCGTCCCCTAAATATTACATTAGTCATTGGTAATTGCCCATCTGTCAGTTTGGGTTCCTCTCAGAACTGGAAGAAGAGGAACTGAAATGAATAGATGCGTAATAACTTAGTGACCTCTGTTCTTTTCTCCACATTTCCACATCTATTTGCACTTTTTAAAAAGTTCACCCCTTGCCACTGCCACAAGTGTGGCAGATGTGGAACTGTATCTGATAACTGGATAGCGTTAATGTTATTTACTTGGACTTTGTCATTTCAACCCAAGTGCAACTATTTCATAGTTTTCATCTTATAACCACAACCCTAAGATGAAGAGTCTCATGCTTATGGACTGAAATAATAATAATAATAATAATAATAATAATAATAATAATAATAATAATAATAATAATTTATTTATACCCCACCCTCCCCTGCCAGAGCCAGGCCAGGGCAGTTAACACCAGTAAAATTACAGTGAAAACATAATAAGGGGGGGGGCAATTTAAAATACATGTTTTAAATCTGTATTTAATCTGGCCACAGAGATCCATGCGACGGTCACCTCCAGGCTTGACTACTGTCACTCGCTCTACTTGGGGCTGCCCTTGAAATTGTTCCACAAAATCCAGGGGGTGC